TTGCGAAACGAGTAACTTCTTAACTAGAATTACTGACTTTTCCATGACTATCTAAAAAAAATAATAATAATTCCCTGACTTTTCCAGGTTTTCCACCACTTTGGCCAATATTAACATATTTTCCAGATTTTCCAGGTACAGTACAGACCTTGTCTAGTGTTTGAATATAATTTTTTTTTACATATTTTAGTTCTGAATTTTAATAATACAATTTAAAAAATAATATCATCTATAAAAATATCGTATTACCTTTGTCTATAAGATAAATTTAAATAAACGTTTATATAATAAATAATAATGAACCACCAGCAACTGTTAAAACTTTAAACTGATATGAATAGTCTGTTGTTTTTTTCAACAGTTGATTTCAAATGGATTTCAAAGTTGGTGACTTTGAAATCCAACAAAAAACTTTTGTTACGTTCATAAACATAAATGTTCTCAAAACGACTAAAAAACCTGGCCAATTCTTTGCAACTAAATATAATTTCGGTGGTCAGTATCCAAGAGCGATCGCTCCTGGTTCCTGACCAAGCCAGTGGTGTAAGCTTTGATATGTTGATTATTATAAAATAAAATGTTAATTACACTCTGACTTTTTGACCGTAATATATGAAAAAGTCTTTAAAATTGTAAAAGTTAAAGCTATGAATAAAGATTTTCAATCATCAGACATAAAGAATTATAATATAAAAACTTACCATTTAATAAATTTTGTTCATTTAACTTCTCAGAGCAAACATTGAACTTCTGTAAAGAGTTTGTAGTTACAGGTAAATCCCAAAGTTTAATAATATTTTTAGTTTTATAATAAGAAATTGAGGATAAATGATCTACACCAAGATATACACAATTTTTTGTCTCTTTAATCTTTATTTTGGCTGGTTATTTTCGCTATCTTCCTTTTGTGTCTCCAGAGCAGAAGTTTAGCCTTCTGCTAAATTCAATCTTATATTGCTATAAAAATCTATAAATCAAATTATTAATAATTAAGTTATAACGAAAGTTAATGTATAAGCTTAAAGTTGTTAACTGCTGTATGCAAACTAATTATGAAAAATATCCAGAGATATTAAATTAAAAATTATAAAACCAAGAATAATGTCCCTCTGCCTCAGAAAGATGGAATACATAAAGGGTTGTTTCAATTTAAATCATGATTAAATCAGACAAATAAAAATAATGATTTAAATTGAGTCTTTTTATTTCAATTGATTTTAATGATTATTTATTGATTTAATCTCATAATTCAATAAATTATTATAGACTAGTCATTGGTCTTAAAACAAAATGTCTGGCAATATTAGAAAGCTCTACATAAGTAGAATATAAATTCTAATAACATCACTTTTTGTACACTGTTTTAATGTTTTAGTAGATGGGGTTTCACAATCAAACAAAAAAGACATACTTAAAATGTAAAATATCAGCTTCTAACAACTTCAATGCCACATATATATTACTGATACCTTTAATAATATATCTTATAATAGCTATATAATCTAAACTATTATAAATAAATTATGAAAAAAAATTTTTTTTCAATACTTATACTGTATGACATTTCATATGTTTGATATATTTAATAAAGAAGAATTTAAAATGTCTTCTTTATTAAATAAATCGAACATTTGAAATGTTACATTTATTTAATAAAGATTATTAAATAAATCAAACATTTGAAATGCTAATACAGCAATAAGTATAAAAAAATAACTTACACAAAAATAATTTAATTATTACCTTTATTATTACATTAATTGTTTACATTGTAGTAAAAAATGTTTCAAGCATATTATTTAACTGTTAACAATTATTTCATTATTAAAAAAAAAAAAAACATCAAGTCACGAGAATCTCTTGAAATTTATTTCATATAACGAACCTTTTAAGATTCTTAGAAGATTCATAAATATAGCTTCTTTTTTTTATATATAATTTAAAAAAATGGAAAGATAATATCAAAACCTTTTTTTAGTCTGTCAAACGATACCATTTTTAAAAATGTTTTAGATAGGCTCTCTTGTCAAACCCCAATTCCGACGTTGAGCGTCCTTTGCGTCCGCGAGTTTGTATTTCTAGAAAATAGGCGAAATGGGGTATATAGGGATTTGCGTTGCGGTGTGCACATACACCGACTGATTTTTAGAGAGAACATGCAGCGGAGTGTGGAAACAACGACTGAGGGTTTGGTGTAGGCAGGTTCTCTTTTAAATAAAAAAGTCGTTTTTTTAAATTTTCGGACCTTGAGGACAGCGTCGGAATAACGGTTTGACAAGAGAGCCTACCGTTTTAAAAATATTTACTAATCCGCAACTACATTGGCCGAATATTGGCTACGGCTTAAATGTAAGAACAGATTTTTATAGCAAAATATTAAGCCTAAACTACATTGGCCAAATGTTGGCCCAACGTAGTACGATAATTACAAAAAACCGATTTGTAGAATTACAATATTACGCCGAAGAAAAAACATTGGCTAAATGTTGGCCCAATATAGTACGATATTTGCAAAAAACCGATTTGCAGAATTGAAAATAATACGTCGAAAAAAAACATTGGCTAAATGTTGGCCCAACGGAATAAACTTGCCAATGTTAAAACTTACGTTGGGCCAATGTAAGCTTGCTGTCTGGGTATCAATACTATTTAATTTGCATTAAGCTGTCTCATCACAAGATGAGACGGCTAAACTAAAAATCGTCTTACAAAGATTATGTAGGTCTGGTGAACTTTGTAAGAGATAAGACTCAATAGAAGAAAATTTAATTTAAAGACCACGAATATTAGTGATTGATAGATTTAGAGATCTTGGTAATGACAATGGTTTTTTATGTTTTGTAGTTTTTAATACTTTAGTCGATTTAAAATTGACTAAAGAACTTCACTCAAAGCACAGATAGTACTCAGTACACTATCTAATAGTCTAAACAACTGCCTCATTTCTATTAATAAACCCTAAGCCGTAACAAAGGTTCGAGTTCTAGAGCTGCACCCCCATTAAGAGATAACAGAATGAGTTGTCTAGTCATAAAGACAAAGACACGAGCAAAACCCATGCATTTTTTTTGAAGATCCAGCATTTAACATTCTAAACTGGAAACAATGTATCATAAATACATCTACGCTAGCCTAATAAATAAAGAATGGGTGCAAAGCTGGTCAACAGATTGAACCTGTTTACTTCTTACATACGTGAGCATGAGTTTATTGTGTTGGACTTCTTAAAATAAAAGTCTTGATCTCGGTCTTTTAAAACTTTCAAAGTCTTAAAGTTGAATTTTTGATGTCTTGGTCTTGGTGTTGGTCTTGTAGCATTCAGACTTGGCCTTGGTCTTAGTCTTGAGCCTAAATGCCTTGTTCTTAGTCTCAGTCTTGGCCTTTACAGTCTTGACTACATCTCTGAGTAGAACTTAGATAGAGTAGTATATTTAGTAGTATAATTATTGTTTTAAATATTAAGAAAATGGCGGAGAGCTTTTGGGCAGAAGTTACCGCAAATGCCGCAATTTAAATAGAACTTCAGTAAATTTTTGGGAAGTGCGCGCGCTATCGATACTATATTCAACGTCAAAATGGTGAATAGTTTGCAAATGATGTTGATGTCAATCATTTTCATATCTTATAAAATTTCACTAATCAGTTTTTATTAGAAAAAAACAATCAAGTTAAAATAAACTGTATTTATTAAATTTTGTCATTAGTTTTATATGGCCTGCATTGACAAGCCATTATGCATAGTATAATTGTATTGGAGTAACTATTTATTTGCTGATATAGTTTCATAAACATACAAGTAGTTCATTTGCTAAAGGTGTCGATTCACTAATTATTTTTTTTTTTTTAATTTTTTTATTTGAAGTTACCCTATACAAAATATATTTTAACTAAAGCTCAAACTTAACCTTAAACGTTTGACTTAATGCTAGAAAATTAAATTGGTTCGAAAGTATAAATATTAAAATAGTGAAACAATTTATTTTTTTAAATCAATTTTCATTGACTTGCAAGTGATATTATGTATTAGTTATCTTTTCTTTCCTAAGTACTTTTAACATAATTGTTTGCATAGTTCCTTTTTTGTCTAAAAAATTGCTGCATTTCTAGAAGATAAAGGTTAAGTCAGAAGACTTTAATTGAATCCTGCATTAAGTCTTATGTGAAAATTTAGTTATGTAATCCAAGTTATGTAAATGTAATACAGGAATTTAATATATATATATATATATATATATATATATATATATATATATATATATATATATATATATATATATATATATATATATATATATATATATATATATATATATATATATATATATATATATATATAAAGTAGTATAAAATCACTTAGCAAAAATTTTTTTCATTTAATACTGTGTTTCATGAATAAAGACTCATCAGAAAATCTTTATTGTTTTTATTAAAAACTTTCAACACAGTGTTAAATGAAAAAATATTTTGCTAAGTAATTTTCTACTACTTTATAATTGCTCTGTTCTTTTAAGAACATTGAACACTCTATTTTGTAGAATACATTTTAATATATATATATATATATATATATATATATATATATATATATATATATATATATATATATATATATATATATATATATATATATATATATGTATATGTATATATATATATATATATATATATATATATATATATATATATATATATAATATATATATATATATATATATATATATTATACACACTTTTTTACTAGTTATTTTTCCAGAGATATTTTTGCAGTGGTAAAACTAATTTTTCATTACCTAACAATTATAATTAGATTACACTTTCATTACTGATTACAGTAATGAAACTGTAATCTAATTATAATTGTCAGTTATAATAGACATAATATTGTTTTTAATAATATATTATTATTGCACTATTGTTTATTTTTTGTAAAATACTTTCTCTCATTTTACAGCTATATTTAGGTTTTGAATATATATATATTTTTTTTGCTGTATATTTTCATTTTATATTTTATATATTTATGTTTTAAAATAAGAATATCATGTCAGGAAGTATTGGTGTACCTATTAAGGTTCTACATGAAGCTGAAGGTCATATAGTAACTCTAGAAACATTGACAGGGGAGGTGTATCGTGGAAAACTACTTGAGGCAGAGGATAATATGAATTGTCAGCTCACACACATTACTATGACTGCAAGAGATGGAAAAGTTGCTCAGCTAGAGCAAATTTTTATTAGGGGGAGTAAAATTCGTTTTGTTATTTTACCTGATATGCTGAAGAATGCCCCTATGTTTAAAAAAATGCTTGTTTCACAAAAAAACACAGGTGTTGGTAGGGGAAAATCTGCTCTTTTGAAAGCACAAGGTATATCATTTTTATATTAAAATTTGTTTTTATTAAAAACTTTCAAGTGGTTATATTGTAATTGTAACAAATTTTCTTTGAATATAATAAGTTAGGAAAATGTTATTTTCAATGAAAATGTTGTTTTAGTTCTTAAATGCTTAAATTGTTTAGAAGATTGCTTATGTTTAACTTGATGGGTTAAACCCAAATTAACAAGTTATAACTTTATTTCTATTTGTTGAAAAGAGAAAGAGATGCAACCTTATGGCAATGATACAGGGACTTAAGCTTGGCATCTAAAGTAGGCCGTTTACATTTTTTAATCCTGTCTATTTGAGAAAGGGCATCATTAGAACAACATTTTAATTGTGACAGCAGTATTCCATACAAGGTTAAATAAAAGATTTTTAGAGGTTAAGAATAATTTCTTTCGACAATGCCGACCTAAATGCTGACCATAAAGTGTTTGAGGTTGGCGAAAAATTGCAGAGCTTGTTTCTATGTTTTATGGTAACCCCTTTGTGTCAAATTTTTTTTTGCTAACCTAATGCCAATCTCTAACATTTTTTTTTAACCTTATTTTTTCTAATTCTGAGCTTGCAAGGAATCTTTTTTCAAGTAAAATTATACAAGTTGCTTTTCAGTAATGCTAACACATAAAATTTATAAAAAGTCATTTAAAAATCAACTTGAAGTTTTGTGCGAGTAATTAAAGTTACATTTTGTATGCAGAGATTATCTTTTTCCATATATTTCCAGAATTCTGGATATTTCTTTAAACTTTTATTTTTTCCGGATATCCAAATAATTTCCTGGAAATAGAAGTTGAAATTATATTTTTTTTTTTTTGTTATCAAATAATTAAAAGAGTTAAAGTATTGTTCTTCAATTACTTTATGATATATTTTACTTAGGTTAGGCATTAGCGAAGGTTGCTTAAGATGAGCAGGTTCCTAAGATGGTATAACCTCTTTTACGGGTAGATTACTGATTTTTTTGCAAACTTTTTTGGTTAAGGGTATTCATACAAGTTTGACGGTGTTATTTATTTTAATTTCTTGGTTTTATAGTTAATATTCTTTGATTGTTTTATTGTTAAAAAAATTTACCATCCCTGTTATAATTTTTTATTATTGAATTTTTGTAATTACGTCAGAATGAAACAAGATCATCAAAAGTTTATGACATCCTCAATATTTGCTTATCTACTGCTAATTCCATGGGTGTCTGCCAGATCAGTGAAATCAGGGAATTTAGAAGTCTTCAAAAAAATCAGGGGAAAATCAGGAAAGTTAGGTCAAATTTTAGAAAACTCAACGATAAATCAGGGTTTTTATTATTTATCTTATTTTAGAAGCTCTTTAATTAGGAATCTTTTTTAAAACTCAGTTTAACTCTAAGAATAGCAGTTATTTTTTTTGAGCTTGATTAATAACTAGCTTTTAGTAATTTACTAGTATTTAATTTCTACAAGTTAGTTGGTACTATTTGATGTTATAAGTCAGTTAGTTAACTCTTTGATGTTATTAGTCAGTTGTTTTTATTTTCTTTAGACTAAACAAGTTTAAGTAAATTAAATGAATTCAACATATTTTGATGATCAGTGGTTACAAATTCCAGAATATAAAGCTTGGTTAATATGTGGGTATACAATTACCTCAGCAAAATGTAGAGTATGTCCACATCCAAGAAATAAAATTGAATTGTCTAATATGGGCCTGAGAGCATTAAAAAGTCATTCAACAGGAAAAAAGCATTGTGAACATGGTTCACAATGCTTCTTTCCTGTTGAATGACTTTGGGTTACATGGTTTTAACCAAATGGTTTAAACCATTGGTTTAAACCAATTTAAAAAAATATTGGTTTAAACCAAACTCATTTTTTTTTAAAAAAGATTTGAACTTACAACAGAAAACTAAGACAGGGTTATGTTCACAAATATAACTAATCTTCAATATAGATATATTTTTTTAAATCCATGATTTTTTTTTTTTTTTTTAATTTATCAATATGCTTCATCCAGGATACACTCTACCTTATAGAACTCAAATTGGAGGAGAAATATTAGATAAGGTTTACACAGAAGAAATTGAAAAATGTAATGTATTGAATGGGAAAATTGCAGCCATGTCTTTAGATGGCTGGAGTAATGTACATAATGAACCTATAATTTGTATCTCTGTAATTACAGATAAAATTAATATTTCAGTAGAAACAATCAACAATTCTGGTCATTCACATACTGGTGAATATCTTACACAATTAGCAAGAGAAGCTATAGATTTTGTAAGATGTAAATTTAGATGCATAGTAAAAAGCTTTGTGACTGACAATGCAGCTAATATGAAATTAATGAAACAAGTATTGTTATCTGAAAGAGATATTATCTTAACCTATAGGTATGCTGCTCATATGCTGAATCTTTTAGCAAATAATCTGAACATTGAAAATGTGAACAAGCATGTTACACAAATAATAAAATATATAAGAAATAATCATCAAGCTGGAGCAATTTATAAATTAAGCGGAGGAACAAAATTGCCACTTCCTACTGAAACTTGCTGGAATTCTGTATGTGATTCGTTTGAAAAATATCAACAACTGGAGCATTATTTTCACGATGTTTGAGAAAAATAAAGACTTGGATCCCATGATTTGTAAAAAAGTAAGTGATATACAGATAAAGCAAAACACAGAAGATTTATTGAAAATATTGAAACCAATTGCAGTAGCTCTAGATAAGTTGCAAAGAGATCAAACAGAAATAAGTGTAAAAATAAATTTTTAAAGATTTGATGAACAGTTTATCATTTTTATCAAACGAAAAAAAAAAAATTGAATCTAGATACCTTCAGACTGTCAGTGATGGTCATTTCCTGGTAAACATACTAGATCCTAGATATTATGGATCTAATCTTTCTGATTAGATCTGATTAGAAAATGATGCTGCCATGAATTTCGCAGATAAAGAGTTCATAAATTTGTTACCAATATTATTCAAATTAAAAGCCAAATCTACTATAACATAATGGATATTGAAGGTTTATTAAATGCACCAACTTCTAGTGCTGGAATTGAAAGAATTTTTTCAACTTTTGGTCTTGTTCATTCTAAGTTAAGAAACCAATTGGGGTTAGAAAAAGCAGCAAAGCTTGTATTTATATATAGAACATTAAACGATAATATATTGAATAATTTTGATGAAATATAACAATAATATTGATAAAGAATATAGTTTACTCAAATGAAATACCTTATGCTTTTTTTTTTTAATTTAAAAGGATAACTAAATACCGCATTTTTCAGTAAGAACCTAATTTTTTTAAAAACCTATGGTTTTTGATTTTTTTCAAAAAAACTTTCGATTTTGTTTAAATCAATGTTTCCTGACAGTGCTATAGCTGAAAAGTACTCTCTTCAAAAAGATAGGTGCTCATATTATATAAATTTTTTGAATAGCTCCTCATTTTCAATCAGTTCTTATTAGAAATATAGATAAGTCAGACTTATATGCTGTTTCTTTCAATGAAAGTCTTAACTCAGTTGTGCAAATGGGGCAGATGGATCTTGTTAATTATTGGGATAGTGTTTGTACTTGTTACCTAGATTCAACCTTTGGATATAGTCGAAGTAGAGATCTTCTGCATAATTTTTTGTTGGGTTTAAAATCTTTAAATAAAACCAAACTTATTTAAGTATCTATGAATGGCTCAAATGCAAATAGGGCCTTCTACTCTGAGTTACAAAACTATCGTGCCAAAAATGACATTAACAAACTGATTCGGACTGGATCTTGTGGTCTTCATTCGATTTATCTATCATTCAAAACTGGGGAAAACAAAACAGACTGGGGTATTGAAAAGATTTTAAAAGCTCTTTATAAACTTCTCCATGATTCTCCTGCAAGACAGGATTGACTTTACTGTTGTGACTGTAAGTAATCAATTTCCTCTTCCTTTTTGTGGTACTCGATGGGTTGATGATGAAAAGGTGGTTTTAAGAGCTGTTAATATTTGGGAGAGCATTTGTAAAATATGTAGGTTTTTAGAATTTCTACCTAAGAGTAAGCAGCCTTCATGCATGAGCTACCTAATTGTTTTATCTGCTACTAAGAATCCTCTAATTTTAGCAAAATTTTATTTCTTTGCTCATATAGCTCATATTATGCAATCCTTTTTAACCATATATCAATATGCTAAACCTATGATGCTATTTTTATATGACGACCTTTATCGACTATTAAAAGACATAATGTCAAAGTTCATTATAGCTGATACTTAAGATCAATGTAAAACTGCAAATAGCCTCTGCAAATTGAATTTTACTAAAGAAAAAAACTATTTAAAAAAGCCAGGTATTGGATGTAGGGCCAGCACTGTTATAAAGAATAAAAAAACTAATGATGAAATCACTTTAAAAGATATTTATGCTTTCAACTATAGTTGCATATGTTTTCTACGGTCGTTGACATGTAAGTTTATGGAAAAATTGCTTTTAAAATATGCCATTGTGCAAAATGTAAAATGTTTTGACCCAGAAATAATGTAAAATGAAAAAATCGCAATAGAAAAGATAAGTGATTTGGTTGATAACTTGATTCAATTGCATTGGGTTACCCCAAAAGGTGGGGTAACCCAATGTGGTAAATACCAAATTCAAGAGATATTTAAAAAAAATTGTCTCTAAAAACAGGGAACTTTTCATAAATTTCAACAAAATAGATGATAGATTGGTTGAGTTCTTTTTTTCTAAAGTTTGTGGTTTAGATAATTATCCGGCACTGTTCAAATTAATCAAAATGGTGTTGACTCTTTTTCATGGTCAAGCAGCAGTTGAAAAAGGGTTTAACATTAACAAGAATATGTTACAACCTAATTTAATGAGTAAATCATTAATAAGCCACATAATTTTGTATGACCATATGAAAGCTCTTGACTTGAACTCGGAATCTATAGTTATCTCTAAGGAACTGAGAGAATCTGTCAAAAAATCACGAAGTCAACAAAAGATTGAAATGGCTACTCAAAAAGAAACTGAGCTTACAGATGCTTGAAAGCGAAAAAGTGATTTACTTGCTATAGACATAAAGGGCTTACAAACTAAAAAGGTTATTCTGGAAAAAGTAAAAAAAAATCCGCTAAAAAGTGATTCAGAAGCAATACTTGTGGAAAAGCTGCAAATGATGCTAAAAAAGCTCATACTTATGCTCTTGAAGCAAAAGTTATTGTAGAAGAGAGGAAAAAAAAGAAACGAGATTTAAAAATTAGATAAAACAATTGATTTATTATTTAACAAAAGTAAAGAACTTTGAAATTTTAAATAATAGTTTGTTATTTATATACAGCAAATTCTAAATTTATATAGATATTTAATAGATATTTAAAAATTATATTATATAAGTTATTATATTTTTTTGAAAAGATTTTTAACATTGATGTGGCAATAATATTTTATTCTTTTTGACAAGAAATAAAAAACTAAGTTGCTTAAATTTTATCATTCTTTCAGAATTATTTTTTCTGAACCATTTGGTGTATGTCTATTTTTCATCTTTTAAATATTATGTTGATTTTAGCTTTATATTTTACTTTTATATTGCTTGTGTAGTTCAGTTTATTTTGTTCTGAATGCTATTTATCAAAACAGTTTCAATAACTTTCAAACAGAGTTTCAAACAGAGTCAATAAAAACATAGCATTTTTAGCAGAGTCAATAAAAACATAGCATTCAAAATTTCAAACAGAGTCAATAAAAACATAGCATTTTTACATTTTACTTTGATTAAATTTTAAATGTACTTTAATAACAATAGTAACAATGACAACATACTAACAATACTTAAATAAATACAACAATAATACCTTATTTTAAACTGCACATAATTTTTCCATCATTATTCCCCAATCTTTTTTGAGTCTGGAAAAGCTCATAATAACTCAAGTAAAAATCAGGAAAAAGAAGTCGACAATCAGGGAAAAGAGATTCACAATCACGGAAATCCACCTCAAGATTTTGGCAGACACCCTGTAATACATAAGCTATTGTCCTGCTATTTAAATTATGATAGAGATGCTTTTTATTGAAAAAAAGCACAATTTTTTTTCTCCGCAGAGCTTTATTTTGGGATTTCAAGAGTTTTTTTAAAAAATAGAATTGCAAACTTTTTTAGAGATAAGAAAGATTTTTTATTTTTATTTTTATGCTGGAGATTTTTACTCAAGTATAGTCCTTAAAGGGACCACTAAGTCCCGAGACAAGAGCGATCCTTGCATCGACATCAACTGTAACACTTCTCTTATTCAGATGGCTACCATAGTGATCATGTGGTAGTATCAATCCAGCAAGTTTTTTACTAAGTGTTGCCATTTTTCTATTAACTCTATTAAATGCACTTCTTCCAGGACTGTTTGTAGCAAGAAATAAAGCATCAAAATCATGCTGGATAAAGTGGTGTACTGCAACCTTTATTACTTTTTGGTATCTTGGGTTCTCATCGAAGCCACCATCAACTCTCAAAACTAAAATTGGTTTAACCAATCAATCAATACCACTTCTGTTAATGATTTCAAACTCCTTAAGTGTAAGCAATCTTTGAAAACCAAATCCATGGCTGAATGCTGTAGATTTTGAGTGTTTTTCTGATCTGTTTTCTATATAGGTTCGTTCGGAATATCCTACTGCTTGGTTTGCAAGACAATTAGGCTAAATAGAGATTCCAGCATACACCAATGGAATTAATTTGTGTCCTTCAACCACCACCCATTCATGGTCAGGTAAGCTGACTCTGTACTCATTGTCCATAAGTAATGAACTTTGTTTTTTGACAGCAGTCAACCCAATTGGAACACGAGCTTTGTCATCTTGACTCATAAAACACACTTCATTCCTAACATGGATGCTAACTCTAAGTGTCTTCTTGTAGCAATACAAAGTTTTGTTTTTATTCAACTGTTGTCCTAAATTGTATATTTTTTAAAATTTTCTTTCAATTCAACAACTTGTTCATATGAAAAGCATTCCACGTTTTTGTTGCTTGTACAAACTAATTCAGAACTCAGATTTTAATCTGTGGCAGCAATTGTAGTTGGGCTGGAGCAATTCTTGATGTTTCTGAGTGGGCAGTGCAAGGTCCAGGTTCTAATTCATCAGTAACAATATTGGTACCTTTATCAAACTGCAAATTTGAAGTCAGAAGATTTTTGTTATGTCATTTATGGTTGAGGGTTTTCTTAGTAGATAATGTTTGTTCAGCCCGAAATGTTAATAGTGTTCTTTTTTTGCTTGTGGAAAGAGCGTTTAGTTCTTTCAACCAATGATACGCTTTGATTTGTAAATTTTTATCAACTTTTATTTCATTCCACTTCTGAATCAGTTCTTCTTGACAAGCCTCTCTGCTCTTTGTAGGATATGCTGGTGTATTGCACCAGTTTGGTGCAATACACCAGCATATCCAACATAAAATATGCTGGTGCAATATCACCAGCATATTTTATGTTTTGCACGTTGCACATTGTATCAAATTCTGGAGACTGTTTGAGGAACTGCTGTTGCTTAGTGAAGTGCAATCAGTGAGAAGTTTAAATGAAGAAGTACAAATCTCAAAGTCTCAGAAAATTTTGAAACACTACAGAACTCTTTTGAAGGGTACATTTGCACCGAAAGATTTAATCAGGAGACATAGGTGCTATATTTATGTATACCCTTTTTATGATACATTTATATGTATTAATATATAGCCTATTTATGATTGATATCAATGATGGAGATTTTATTAAAGTTAATTGACATAAGATCTAAAGCAGTATGTCAATTAACTTTGCTAATTTTTAAGTATGTCAATTAACTTTTTATTCACCTTCTCAAGGCCGAGAAGGCCACTACAGACGAGGAGGCTACTTATTTGTGGTAACAACCCTCTCTCAACTCTATAACTCCGAAACACAAACCTTGACGAAAGAGGCCGCTGCGCGTAGAAACAAGTTGAGCGCGGTACTACCAGGGACGTGGCGGCAAAATAAATAAGGAATATCTATTTGTATTAATTAAATTATAAATTTTTTAATAGTTAAACCATCTTTAATTTAAAAATATTTAATTCTTGGATGTTTCAATATTACAAACTCTCATTTACTTAAGTTTGTGTAAATATAAAAGGATATTGTATGTCAGTATATAAAAAAACAGCAAACAATAAAATTTTTAAACTCATACATATCAATATTATGTCAGTATTTAATAAATTATAAATGAGGAGTATACCCTCATGGTCATCCGGTGACATAAGACAACTCATCTTTTTCAAGGGCAACTGAAATTTTCTAAAAAATGCCTGTCAGTAGCTCGGCAGGACAACCAGACAGTTTGTTACTTACAAAAGTATGTTTATTAATAAAACTTTATTTTGATCTCTAAAGATTTTTTTCCTAGCAATTATTTAAAAGAAGTATTACTACCGTATTATATGGTATACAAGATTATCTTCTATACCATGCAAAAACTATGAATATTATCACCACGACAAAATCAGTGTAATCACAGTGCAGGCATAAAATTCTTATTAAGTATGATATCATTACGATCTTTATGATTACAAAAAAAAATGATTACAAAGTTTTTACCATAAAACATAGAAACGGGATCAGCGATTTTTTGCCGACCTCAAAGATTTCTAGGTCGGTATTTCCGAATGCCGACCTAATTCCGAGGGTTGTATATATCAGACGTTCCACTCCTCCTTAAAAACCTTAAATATCCTTAAAAAAAAAATAACCTCCTTAAAAGTCCTTAAATAACCTTAATAAAAGTTTAAATTTGGCTGCTCTCCTTAATTTCTCTCTCTTTTTATTTTTTTTAAATCATCTAGGAAATTTTACTAAAGTGAACGGATATACATACTTATTAATAAAGAAACAAATATATAATTCTTTGATAGTTTGCAAATCATTATATATATATATATATATATATATATATATATATATATATATATATATATATATATATATATATATATATACATACATACATACATACATACATACATACATACATACATACATACATACATACATACATACATACATACATTCATACATACATACATACATACATACATACATACATACATACATACATACATACATACATACATACATACATACATACATATATTAATTTATAATAATTTTTTTGTTTATATTTAAAATTTATTGAAGAAAATAAGGTTTTGTTATTAATGTAATTGTTTACTCCCTAATTCTCTTTTTTTTTTTCTTTCAAAAAATTGTTGTTTGCGACCAAATCTTCCTAAATATTACGAATTAAATATTACTATATATAGTAGTTTTATTGTAACTAATAAAAAAATTTCAATTAATATATTAATTGCACTTTTTTTCAGTTGCTGCTAGAGGTCGTGGAAGTGATCGTGGCCGTGGTGGTCGAGGTTTTTTCCCAAGAAGGCGGTAACTCGTATAAAGCAGCTTAAGAATGGTAGATTTCCATTACAAACTAAATCATTACTAAAAAAACACCTTTGGAAATCTAAGAAGTTGTTTCTATCTATTGGGATTTACATTGCTGTTATGAAACAGTGTTGGTGAAAAAGGTTTATGAAGAACTTTAATTTTATGATTACCAAATTTATATATTTCAAGTGTACTTTCAACAAACAATATCAAATTTCTTCATTGCCTACCTAAAAATGTATAATATAATACGTATAAATATTATAATAATAATAACAATATTGTAATTCTCCAGAACTGCTGGATGTTAAATGCATGGATTGGTTAAATGCATGGATTGGTTAAATGCATGGATTGGGTTCATCTTATGGCATTTGCGAGTGTTGGTTTTTTTTCATTCTTTATTATTTACTGTTAATTCACATATTGCAAATTTTGTAATATATCAGCGAAAGGTCGTGTAGTAGGGTGTCTAAAAAAAATATCTTTTATCAATTTCTAATATTTCAAAATATTTCGTCTTGTGTAATTTTATGAAACAAACAAACTAAAAGAACAAAATGCCTTTAACTCAAGTAGTAAATAATGTTTACTATTTTTGTCGTAGATACATTTGAGCTTAAGTTTTTAATCAAAATTTAATCAAAAAATTTAATCAAAAAAATTTAATCAAATTTTAATCAAAAAAAAAATTTTTTAATCAAATTTTAATCAAAATATTTAGAATTATTATTAATTTTAATCATTATATTTAGAATTATTATTAATTCCTGCAATAAACTATTAAACATTGTGGGGAACCTTATTTATTTTTTACTTAGTAATTGATTTAAAACTTTACTAAAAGTATGATTATATATTTAATATTTTTGTAAAAAAATAATAAAGGATAACTTGTTCTGTTGATATCAAGCTTTTTAATGATTAGTTCCTAATTATACCAATAAAAAATATAAAAAAAAAGATGAGTAGTTTTATATTTATAAGGAGTCCTCTGTTTCCATTTAAAACTTTTAATTTAGGTGGCACACTATTAAAAAGCACTTTTTAAATGTAAAATTGGCAGATGGATTTACGGGACTTATTTTTAATTTTTTTTTAATTAAATTTAAATTTTTAAATTTTATTTTTAATTTTAATCTTGTTTAATGTTTACCAGAAACATGACATTAGTTTCATTTGAATTTTTGTTTATCACTGGATTCTTTGGCTATCGATCTGTAGGGCCGGAGACACGGTTTTCAAAGTTGGGGGGGGGGGGTACATTAGTCAACTCTAGATAAAAGTCTTCCCTATCTCGAATTTTCTTTTAAAAAAAAAAAAAAAAGTTTTTTCGAAAAAATGTGGGGGCACGTGCCCCCTGCTGTCGTCGGTCCTGATCTCAACTTGTTTGTTTGCTTTGTACACTTGCGTTGACTTTGGCTTCATTTACTTCACACGAGAATTGTCAAACTCAATAGATGTCATTACTGTTATTGTTTTACTTCAATACCTACACCAGCTTTCAGAATCACGAGGGCAAAACTAATGTAGAGACCATCTAGCGGAAATATAACAACGTTTGAAAACTATTTAGAACAGTATTTAGTAAGCGTTAGAAATAAACAAGTATACTTAATGGGGAATTTAATATAAACCTTTTAAACGTAAAAAATGATAATAAAGTCGAACGCTTTCTAAATCTCCTCTATCAGCACAATATCTTACCATTAATTAATAAACCAACTCGCATAACTCTTCAAACTGAAACTCTCATATATAATATTTTTACAAATAATTTCTCGAAATATCACACTCAAAGCGGAATCATAAGAACTGATATAAGTGATCATTTCCCAATATTTTTCACATCAAATTCAATATACAAAGAAAAATCAATCAAGGAATCAAACAAGTTAATAAGCGTTACAAAAAGAAAAATAGATAAAAATACCATTGAAACCTTTTGTAACTATCTATCACTGGTAGATTGGGATCAACTCATCAACTACAAAGACGTAAATAACGCTTATGAATATTTTAACTTAGAGTTCAGTTATGCGTATGAAAAAGCATTTTCTAAGCAAGAAAAAATAATTAAATTTAAAAGCTTACAAAGTCCATGGATTTCCAAAGATCTTATCAAATAATCCAAAAAAAACAAAGGCTCTATGAAAAATATTTAAAAAAAAAAAAAAAACTTACAAAAATGAAAACAAATACAAAAATTATAAAAACCTCTTTGGAAAAATAAAAAAACAAGCAAAAAAAATTATTATTCTAATTTATTGCAAAACAATATTGGAAATAACAAAAAAACATGGGATGTTAAAAAAGAAATAATAGGAAAAAAAAAAGATTGACTCTGGTTATACACTGCCTAAACGTTTAAATACTAATGATAAAAACATATTTATCAGTGATAAAAAAGAAATCTCCTGATGAGCTTTGGAATGCTTTTGAAGCCATACAGCCCAGAAAAAGTCCTCGTCTTGATGACATAGACTCTAAAGTTGTTAAAAATGTTTATGACGTTATTGAGTATCCCCTAATGTATATCTTTAATCATTCATTAAAAAATGGAGTTTTTCCTGACCGCCTAAAATTAGCACGCGTAATTCAAGTATTTAAAAGCAGAGATTTTATCTAACTATAGACCCATCTCCATACTCCCGTGCTTTTCAAAAATATTGGAGCGCATAATGTATAATAGACTCATTATATACCTTCAAAATCATAACATCCTCTACAATGACCAATACGGATTTAAAAAAGGCCACTTAACTGAACATGCTGTAATAAAATCAGTTAACGAAATTGTAAGTGACTTTGACAAAAATAAACACACCCTTGGAGTATTTATCGACCTTTCAAAGGCTTTTGATACAGTGGATCACGAAATCCTTCTATACAAACTTCATAATTATGGTATACAAAATAAAAATTTAAAATGGTTCAGTTGCTATCTAAAAAACCGTAAACAAGCCTTATTTTTCAACAAAACATACACTCCCCTTGAAATCATCACATGTGGTGTTCCACAGGGGTCTATTCTAGGACCTCTGCTTTTCCTAATCTATATAAATGACATATTTTTATCTTTCAGTATATTGAACTTCATTCTTTTTGCAGATGACACTCATGCTTTCTATACCCTACTAATACCCTTTCTATACTCTAACATTACTACACTTTTTAATACAGTAAGTCTTGAACTTGAAGTAAGAACTTGAAGAGTTGAGCGATTGGTTTAAAGCAAACAAACTTTCTGTCAACATTGAGAAAAGTAATTATATCTTTTTTACTAAACCTTACAATTCAGACAAACTATCATTAAAACTTCCAGATATTCTATTAGACAAAGTTAGACTAAATCGAGCGTTCTCAAATAAATTTCTCGGGGTATTAATAGATGAACATATTAGCTGGAAAGACCACATTAATATATTAAAAAAGAAAATATCTAAAAACATTGGAATTATGCATAAAACCAGATATATTTTAAATAATGCATGCCTTAAAAGTTTTTATTTTGCATAAATACATAGCTATATTAACTACTGCAATATTGCCTGGGCTAGTACCTACCAATCAAAACTAGATTTAATATATAAAAAACAAAAACAAGCGTGTCGTATATTAACAAACGCAAATAAAAATGCTAACTGAGAGTTCTTAATATCTAAAAACAAAATATATATTGCATTCTTCAGTTCATTTTTAAACTCAAAAATGATCTGGTCCCTGAAGTCTTTCATTACTATTTTCATCTTATTAATCACAAATATCAAACAAAATACTCTATCAAGAATTACTATTCCAAAAACTCTTTAAGACAATCTAAATTCTCAATATCCAGCAGAGGACCCCAATTGTGGAACTCATTTCTAACAAACAAAATAAAAACGATAAACTCATTCCAACATTTTAAATGCGTTGTAAAGCAACAGCTACTAGACCTCAACATTAATGAAACAATCTCTTATTTTTAAAATTTTTCCTTTTTCAATTTCAAAATTTTTTTTCTTCACTTTTTCTTTAAATTCTATTATATTACTTGCTTGGTTATTTAATGTTCATTGTAAAAAAAAAAAAAAAAAAAAATCACATGTATTATAAATATTTTATTATATTTGTATTTGGTTTATATTTTGTCAACGACAAAAATGGGGCAAGATGATAAGACTATTGTTTTCTACTTGCTTTAGTCATATATTTCACGGTAAAATTTACTCCGTAATCGGGTACCCATACACTTTTAATCATATCCAATACATTCAAGTTTTATTATTAACTACTCCTTGTAAAATGCACAATGGGGCCTAACAAAGGATATATGGCCAAAAATCGAAAAATTTGTCTATCGATTTGGAACTTTGCACGCTTATGAAAAAAAGTATTCTAAATTGAATGAAAAAACAAATGGTTTTTGAAAAAATTAAGACCATTATTTTTAAAATAGTCAATAAGCATTTCTTTAGCAATAAATTAACGTTCAGTGATTTTACTTTTAACAGCATTTATATGAAAAACTTCCGGAAAAAAATAGTTAAATGCGTTTTATAAAAGGGATCGCAGCGACAGGGGGAGTGGAGAGCTGAGCTCCCCCCTCTCCCTCCTAACTTTTTCTAAATTTATAAAATATAATTTAAAAATATGAATACAATTTTTTCTACAAAAGATAAAAACCCGTGCTACTATCTATGTTGCAAGCAAATAATAGAGAAAAATTAATAGGTCGGATGAGTAAAAACAAGCTTTTACTCAGTAATTGGTCAGCCTAACGTGAGTAAAAAATTTTCCTTAAGTTTTTGTTCACGTAAAGCTGACCAATTACTGAGTAAAAGCAATTGCTTATTTTTATTCACCCGGCCTATTGTACGAAATATTTCGTTCAATTTTATTCATATTTTTTGATCTTATTTTTATATATATTTAAATATGAGCATTTTTTTTTTTATTATTTCTACTGTATTTTATTTTTAAAGAAAACTTTAGATAGACCTAATGATAATAGAGTATTTAATGAGTTGGTACTCTTTTTTCCATATAACGCATATAAATGCTTTAAGCAAGATTCGAACTCACAATCCCTGAGGTAAAGAGTTCAACACTATAACCACTGCGCCATGCCTGCTATTTTTTATTATAAAAAATCATAACATCTTGTTAATATATTTTAGAATCTACATTTGTTTTATACATATCACTGTTTAATCATCCATATCATTTTCACTATTAGAATCATCGTCAAAGTTTTCATTAATAATACTTGTATTTAAGGTTAATAGTTCTCTTATTTCAAATGACATCTTATGTTTCTAGTACTTTTGAATTCTTTGTTGCAATCTTGAACTTGAAAGAATTGAATCTGAAGTCTCCATTGTACGTGTGAATACATCAAAGAGGTTGTGTGTTGGCGACTATCTTTTCGAACATTATTGATTCTATCTGATGGGTCATTCCACGCCAAACGGTCTAATTTCCGAAATCTTTCCCGCTCGACCATCTCCAATTTTAATAAAATTTTGTCAATATGTTGTTAAACATGTTTCATAAACATTGCCAAATTTTTAGATCAAAATATTTATTAATTTGGGTTTTGTGGTACTTTTTGTAATGCTTACCCAAACTTCAATCAGTCTGTAGCTAAAAACTGTATTTTTGGGGTCTTATATTTTCGTAATGAACAGATAATATATCTTTAAAACGTGGTTTCTTAATAAACCGAAGGTGGAGATTACAAAAAAATTAATACAAGTTTCATATTAAGCCTACATTTTAGTCTATGGTTCACCAAATACCGTCACAAATTCAACACCATATATTTTTTCTGTTTTTTGTAGGGTCATATCTCCAGAACAAAAGATTTTTTAGTATTGTTATTTTGTTTACAGGTTCTACATACTATCATAATGATATGAATTAAAAATCAGCTTTTTTATAAACGTCTTTTCTGAGTTATTTTGAAAGCAAAATAGCGACAAAAGTGAAATACCCTAAAATAACGTGTGTTTGAAGCCCTAAAAATCAATGTGGGCAAATTTTTTTTGTTTTTTTAATTGCATTGTTGGAAAGAGCTTACTTCATACTTCTAGAAACAATAAAAACCACTATGGAGAGATTTTTCCTATGAACTAAAAAAATCTAGTTGTTATGAGCTAAGTTAGGTCTGCAAAGTCTTTGATATTTTAAAAACGATATTAAGGTCTTTTGCTCAGAACTTTCGAACGAAGAACAGAGTATGATTGTCAGGCGAAATTATAATTTGATTAAAAATATTACTTTAATTTGTTTCCACCACAAATCACTGCTGTTGGTTAAACACACTCATTTGCAGCGCTATTGTTTAAACCCTTTTAGTGTGGCTAATTCTTGCTCAGTTAAATTATTGGCCACACTAAAAGGGTTTAAGACTGAGACTACAGTCTGTCTTTCAAAGTTAACAAATAAAGTTATTTGTCCAAAAATTATGTCCGAATTGCCGCAAAGCTTATTCAACCACAAAGTCTTCAAGTGAAATAATTGACGACATTGGTGACATAGATGACATATTTTGTTCAACTGACACTATTAATACTAGCCTTTCTGAGATTGGAATATCACCATTAAGAAAACGTGTTAGTAAGAGAGATCATGCTAGTTATGTAAATGGTAAAATTTGGAAAGTACAAATAACAGTCGCAGAAAAAATAGCTGTTGTTAGTGGTTTATCACCAAAGAATAATGCCCTACCACTAAGCAGTGCAAGTTTAGAGTGTGAGAATTGCATTGACTGGTCAGATTTGATACTAAAATTGAATGATAAAATATCAACAACCAGTAATCCACGTGAAAAAGTTCAAATTTTAACTCTGATACCAAACAGTTGGTCAAGAATAAAAATATGTAGTGAATTTAAAGTATCAGAGAGAATGGCTAAAGCAGCATAAAAGTTGAAGGCAAAAAGTGGAGTCTTAGCACTTCCAGAAAGAAATGCAGGAAAGAAATTGCCAGAACATGTTAAAGAAAAAATTTTGAAATTTTACGAACACGAAGCTTGAGCAGAACATGCCCAGGGAAAAAGGATTTTGTATCTGTGTGCATTGGTGCTAAAAAAGTGCACATGCAAAAAAAAATTACTGTTAGTTAATTTAAAGGAACCTTTTTTTGGAGCTGAAGTTGGATTTTCTAAATTTTGTGAGTTACGTCCAAAATGGTGTATATCTGTTAGATCATCAAATACTCATCGTATTTGTGTATGTACTATTCACCAAAATCTCTATAATGAATAGCCGAATGAATATTATTATTAGTGCGCATAGTTACGCGTATTGTTTTATAGTTACGGTACGGTTCTGTATCTGTAAAATACACTTTTTAATACACTTTTTAATACACTTTTTAATACACTTTTTAATACACTTTTTAATACACTTTTTAAGTAACTTTTTTTTACCGCGTGCTTTCTTAAAGATTTCCTTTCAACCTTTCATGGTACGAGTTCAAAATGTCCAAGTTGACATAAAGTAGATAATGTTTAGTAGCTTAAAATTATAGGTAATCTAAAATCTTTTTTAAATTTTATAAGTAACTTTAATTCTTAGATTGTGTCTAGCGTTAAAATATATTTATGGGTAGTTTCATGATTTCACATAGTTTTGGTTATTGGGATAAAAGCCATGACAACATTTTGTTATAAATTTATCTTAATTTAATTTTTATTGAAAATTTTGTTATAAATAAAATTTATCTTTAGTATTGTTAATACTTATGCTCTTTGAAAAAAAATATGTTTCTGGCTCTTCAATAAATATATAATAATTTGTCTTGCATGAATGAATTTTGGTTTAGGATTTAATTGTGTTATTTTATGTTTTTCTTTCTGTATTTAATATAGCATTTATCATTTGCATACACTTTTATTTAAGTTTAATTGTTTATAATTTATTTAGGTTATTAGAAAATTCATGTTTACAGAGTTGTTATTAATCATAATCGAGTTGTTAAACCAAGGAAATTGTGGAGGTTTATTTATCATATATGCTATATATATTATATAATAATATTGGAGGGAGTAAGTTTAAAAGCATTTTTAAATTTTTAAAAAGAAATAAAAATACTTTTCAATATATATCTGTTTTCTTTAAGGTAGAATTAAAGTTTCAGTTTTTCAAAATTTAAATTTAAAGTTTCAAGTTTTCAAAATTGTAATCTTTTCAAAATATCTAAGTAGACATTGAGTATATATAAAATCTTTTTAAAATTTTATAAGTAATTAGTTTATTATAATCTTTTTTAAATTGTACTTTAAAATTTAAAGCTTCGTGTTATACATGTTAATATTGAAAATATAGATTACTATAATTCTTAGATGGTGTCTACCATTAAAAGATATTTATGGGTAGTTTCATGCTTTCAAATGCTTTTAATAATTGGGATAAAAGCCATGACAACATTTTGTTATAAATAAAATATAGTATTGTTAATACTTTGGCTCTTTAAAAAAAATATGTTTTTTTTCTTTTCAAAAAATTTAATAATTTGCCTTGCATGATTGAATTTTGGTTTAGGATATAATTGTTTTATTATATGTTTGTTTTTCTATTTATATCTAATTTATAAAGATTTAATTTATAGTTAAGATAAATATAATGTAATTAATTTATAATTAAGATATATAATGAAATATCTAATTTATAAAGATTTAGATCATTAGAAAATTTATATTTACAGAATTTTTATTAATCATAATCAAGTTCTTGAACCAAAGAAATTGTAGAGGTTTATTTATCAAATATACTATATATATTATATAAAAAATTTTGGTTTTCATATGTTTTCGCTAATAAATAGTTCTTTATATATATATATATATATATATATATATATATATATATATATATATATATATATATATATATATATATATATAACTATGTATATCCTTGGAGTTGCATTACCTACAATGGAGAACAGCAGTTTAAATGAACAGTTAGTTTGCACGCGCAATATACAGTTTAATTTGCACGTGCAATGAAACTCTGTTCGAATTAAAACTTAAAATTTAAGAAACTTTTAAGAAACTCAATATTCTAAAATGTCGTTAGAGAACTTAACAAAAAATTATAATGAAACTGAAGGAGAAAGAAAAAATTCAAATGCGTTTTGGTCTGGTAATTTTCTATACACCAAAGACAAACTTTATAAAGACAAACTGCATCTTAAGTGTCATTTTTTTACAAGAATGAACTGCAAAGGCAGAGCTTTTATTCATGAAGATAAACTTCAGGTTACAACTGTTCACAGTTGCAGTTCAAGAGAAACAGACTTTTGCAAGTGCTGCTTGCTAAAAGTACCATGAAGAAAAAAGCAGATGAAGACCTGCGCTTAATTTTTCAAAACACTTTGAGTGAGTTTCCTGCAGTTGTTTCTGAATCTGTCAGTTTTCGTCAAATTATCCCAAGTCTTCAGAAAAGGAGAAGACTAAATGAGCCTTCAAACCCAAAATTACCTAATGAAGCTGCTGAAGTTCTGAACGACAAAGAGTTCCATCGCTATGGAGACATTTTCTTGGGATCAGTTGCAGAACAGGATAACGTAGCATTGCTGTTTGGGCATATGCTAGTCATCAACAAGGCGAAATCGGCCAAAGTGTGTTTTGTTGATGGAACATTTAGGTATTTATACGTATGCATTTAACTTTTTCAAAAAAAATATATGTTCTAGAAGAACATATATTTATCTAGGGGGCTTTCCATTAATTACATCAACAAACTTTTGGCTATTTTTACATTACCCCCTCCCCCATGTCACCAATTTGTTAAATTTCCAGAGACACTTCTTTCCCCTATAAAATTACGTCAATTTTTGATAACCCTTCTCCCCTAAATAAAGACGCTGCGCTAAAAACGCAAGCAAATTTTTCTTTTTTTGAGTAACGAAATTAAAAAAATAAAGCAACATTGTTGATGTCAACTTTACTTGACCTCCTCCCCTCACCCTTAGCAAAAATTTTCAAAAAAATTTAGACACCTTCTTCCTTATTTTTTTAACGTTATTAATGGACAGCCCGTAGACGAAAAAAGTGATATATTAAAAACGTTAGGTAGAACACTTTTATTTACAGTTGTAAATTATAGTTACATTTATTGTACTTCCAGCATGACACCACGCATGGAGGAAAGTAAGTGGTATCAGCTCTTGATATTTTCTGTTGAGTATTTAGCAGTACTTGAAGATCCAATTCCAGATGAGGATCAAATAAATTTTGATCCTGATAACCCTCACCTTTGGGGAATATCTGTTCCAGCTGTATGCGCTTTAATGACATCGAAATCCGAGGCTCTATACAAGCTTGTTTTTTCCAAAATAAAAGAAGTTTTAGATTTCTCTCCAGTCACCATTATGTCAGATTTTGAACGAGGACTACATAATGCTTTAAAAACAACTTGGAGTGAAAGCTTGGTGAATGGTTGCAGGTATAAGTTATTTCTTTGTTATTACTTAGTTTCCAGTTTCTAAGTTATCCAAGTTTTTCAGAGTTTGTTATCAATTAATAATCTCCTTTAAACCCTTATCTTTAGGTTTCATTTTGAAAATGCAATCACCAAGCAATTAGCAATTCTTAGTCTTCAGAGAGAATACCGCCACCAAATTCAAGTAAAGAAGTGGGCAAGGAAAGTTTCAGCACTTTGTCTCCTTCCTGCAAACAAGATCTTGGTTGCTTGGGGATCTCGAGTTATTGAGATTGAACAATTTAGTCGCAAAATCAAAATCAAACTACTTGCTTTTAAAAGGTATTTTGAGAGTTATTGGCTCAATATAGTGACCCCAGAAGGATTCAGTGTTTATGGCTTGAACCACAAAACTAATAACAATGCAGAGAGTCTCAATAGACGTTTGAAATCAAACATGGTTGATCAACATAGAGGATTTTGGCAGTTTATGAAAATGCTTAACCAGCATGTAATAGTCCATAAAATTCAAGAGCTTCAACAGCTTGCCTGCAATCAGCCAGTCCGCCGTGACCAACGCGACTATGGTGCAATTGAAAAAATGCGTTGTTTTGAGAAAAAACTTTGAGACGGAGTTTGGACAACTGAGAGATTCCTATCAACAGTATCATATCTCTTTCAAAACTTCAAAGTAGTGTAAGATAATTTTTCAAGTTTTTGTATAACACTTCTTATTTATTAACCTTTATCAATTTTTTTACCAAACTAATTAGTTTAACTTTATTTGATAATCTGTTATTTTCCATGAAATATGGAAAATTATATTTGAAGTTTTTAAATACTTTTAGTGCTTTGGATGAAAACTCAATGAACGAGGTTGGTGAGAGTCTTCCTTTGCCAACTTCTACTTCAACAGAGTCACCGAAGTGCGTTGTTTGTACCGTCAATGAACGAAATGCATTAGTAATGCCTTGCAGACATTTTTTGTTTTGTCAGCCCTGCATTCATCAAGTCCAAAAAAGCAACACAGCTCATTGTCCCACTTGCCGAGGACCAATATCATCTATAATTGAACCTTTTCAACGATTCAGTAAAATTTTCCCTTTTACCTATATTTTAAAAACTAGAATGTCACACAATTGTTTAAATTTATTAAAAAAAATTTATTATATAAAAGCGGTATAATTTTTTTCCTATTGCTCCGCCTGGAATAAAAAATAATCAATAACGTCATTTTTTAGTTTACATAAATGACTTTAAATTCCATTTGGGCCTACAAGATTTTCCGTAAGTTGGCGTACTGTATTGGTTTCAGTTGAGCAAACCCCATATTACGTTAAGGATAAGTACTAAATAAATTCCATCACCCTAGAAACAATAGTCATTTACATGTTAAATTTATTGCATAGATAAATGTAGCATAAAATTCTACAGCTGCTTGTCTAGCAAAATTAAATAAGTTTCCTTGAAGCAAGTGACAGTATCAACAAAAGACTTATCGTGAGGGTTACTACGATTAGCATTTTCGTGTGCACAAGCGTTTTAGAAGCAACTTTTTCCTTTTAACTTTTTTTAACTAGGTTTTAACTTGTCTAGCTAGCTTTTAACTTGTTTAACTAGGTTAAAACTAAGAAGAAGAAAACGAGTGCTAAAAAATTTTTGGCCGGCATCATAACTTGTTACAGTCAGGAAAAAAATATATAGAAATTAAACAAAAAACTATATAATTGGAAAGATCTCGTCAAAAAGTATGTGAAAACCATATGCTGAAATATTTCCTTTCCAAGATACAACACCTTATAGATTATGTAAAACACAGATCCAGATTTTACAGACCAGCACAAAACAGCTGTAAAAAAGGATTTTTCATCCTTAATTTGCTTTATAATAAATATGCATTTTGTTTAAAGAGTTGCTATTGATATAAATTTTCTATTAAAAGTTAGTTTCTATTAAATTTATTACGTCCTTACTGTTGGTAGGGGTAGGGAAAGAGAGGAGATAATCGTGAGCGATTGACATCTTTTTTTTGACCAAATGCTCTTAGTTTCACGTTATAAAAATTAATTAAGATTTTCTATTCTTGACCACAATTTTTTCAGAAACGACCAACCTAACCTCAAAATCTTTACAATATGGGCTTGTATATTTATAGAAGGTTATTGATTGTACTTTTTATAAAAAGTACAATCAATAACCTTTTATACATAAAATAAATTGTTAGAAGATTAGTAAATTCATATATTTTATTCACTAATATATTTTGATAAGTTTTTTTTTTTTATAAAGTAAGTGTTTAATAGTTCTTTTTGGAATTTTATGTTTTGCTTACAATAAACTTCATATATTTTATTCACTAATATATATACTAATAATTCTTCAAGTTAGTCGAGTTTCCTAAAAAGCCTTACAAAATTTTTTATGAATAAAATTTGCGAATAATATATTAACAAGTCTAATTGAACATGGGCTACAACATGGGGGTATATCTACATTGGCTACGTCATAGGGGGAGGGGTCAAGGAGGCATTTTCCCTCCCCCTCTATCAGAATTTGTAGTAAGGACGATTTTTTTTTTATAAAGTAAGTGTTTAATAGTTCCTTTTGGAATTTTATGTTTTGCTTACATAAAATATTTAGTTTACATTCAAGGAGTGCACAGTGGGCCAGCAGTGAGCAAAAATTAAAAAAATGAGCAAAACCAACCTTTAACAATTCAAAAATTTTTATTCTTTTTTGAAAGTGAGTAACCTGAAGAAAATTTAAATGGTTGTGATACTATGTTTTAGTTAATATAATTATTGTTAAATTGATTTTATAATGTTAATATTGTTAAATTGATTTTATATGTAGTTATTAATTTTGATCACTTTTTCATGTTTCTGGCCCACTGTGCAGTGGGCCTAAAATCATTTTGTTAAAAAATCACTAAAGGGCAAATGTTTTCAAGCATTTAAACAAAGGCGAACTTTTTTATTATTTCCAAAAGATATCACTAATATTTCTAAGATACAACACGTTATTTTTGATAAAAACAACATTGTTGTTGCAAATGATAAATAACATTATATATAACTGCGTCACTTGGATTTGATTTACAATTTAAGCGGATAAAGAAGCTTGAAAATAAGTGAAGTTTGAACTGTATTTTATGAAGTGCACCACCACTTTTGTGAAATATTATGTTCATAGTTTTGTCATTAACATGGATTTGTGAGTTTTATCATACTTCGCTTTAACGCGTTGCAACGCGTAAAATTAAAATATGATAAAGTTCGGGTATAATGTGACTCTTCGTTCACATTTCCATGTTAACGACAAAACTATTTGCATGATATTTCATAAAATTGGTGGTGCACTTCATAAAATAGAGTTCAAATTTTACTTATTTAGGGTTTGAGCTATTACTGAAAAATTTTCAGAATTTTTTTTTTTGCTTATTTTTATAAGTTTAACGTCATGGCTCCCGGCCCTAAATGAGAAAAATGTTTCTTCTTAGATTTTTACATTTATTCTTGATATTTATAAATGTAAATGAATCTTTACTCTGACAGTTTGAAAAAGGTCTTTTTCTTTAACTTGAGTTAATTTTTATAGTTTTAACAGAGTTTTTTTTACTCTTGCACAGTGGGCCAGGTATATGGGAAGTGGTGGACAAAACCTAATTATTACCCAATTGGTCCACAAACCCATTTAGATATATAAATGATCATTATATATGATATATATAATGATCTAATATTTATTTTTAACAAGAATATTTTAATTTTTAATAAAAAAAAAAAGACATTTAATAGGCTTAGGTAGTAAAAAAATATTTTTTTCAATATCAACCTTTTTTAAAAATCAAACAACAAATTGTGTTTAGCTACAAAGAAAAAGTAGAAGGTGGAGCTGATTCCCTCAGCAAAGCCAAAACTTTACTGGGGTATTTTTTTAAACTCTTACCATTATTTTTATGACACTTTTTTAATGATGTTATGACAGGATCACTAGATACAAGTAGCCTGTTAACTAGGTCACGATTTGTGTCGATTCTGGAAGTCTTTCTACTGAAATCTTCCCTAAACTTTTTAAAATCCTTGTTACAGACCTCTTGGGCCTCCTCTGACATCAGTCCAATTGGCAAGTACTGTCTAGCAATGATGGCATGGCCATGAACTAAAATTTTGTGTACTGATTGTACCATGTAATACCAGGAATACTTAGATATGTAAAGTTTAAGAGCAGTAATACAGAACTCTTTAAATTTGACAGTGTCAATTTCAAATCCAGATGATAAAGTGACTAGTATGATGTAAAAATAAAATAAAAGAGTTTCATCTACTTTCAAAATTTTGGCAGTTGATTGATAGTTTGCAAAGGCTCGTCGGGCAGTGTTACCATCATTACTGGTACCTACAAATTGTATATATGTGATAGTTAACCTGATGATTTATATAAAAGTATTTATGTAATTTCACTTACCAGATCCTCCACTTTTTGGGAAATCCACAACTAGTCCCATTTGGTTCATAAATTCTGTCTGAAACGTTTCTTCACTTGTATTACATTTTCCTTATCTTCCATAGCTCTAGACTGCCACTTTTGAGTTTCTAGTTTATATCCAATATGCAATACCATCTCAAAAAACCTAATCCAGGCATGCAGGCTAGAAAGACCATATTTCAATTTTAAATTTCCAAATTGTCCAATTTCAGCACCATTTCTAAGTTATTCATGTTTTTTGGAGACACACCACACACAGAGCAACATTGAGTTGAGTTAGTCACATGAGACAGAATAGTTTGAAATTTGCCATCAATCATGGTCAGTTCAATAATACTTTAGACAACCAGTTCCTTTCCATTAAAAGTAAAATTAAAAACACCACATTTTTTGATTTCAGATTCTAAATATTTTGCTTCTTCTATAACAACTGCTTTGCTTTCATTTTGAAAAAAAAATCTTATTGGACGACAATATGCAGTAGATGATGGCTTTTATTTCGCCATAATAGTACTTTTTTGTTATTACAGAACCCACTGAGTTCTAGTGGTGCTAAGCAGGTAATGAACAGAGATTCTTCTTTTTTTAAGTTACGATCTCCAGCTTCCTCACTACTAATTTGCTTGTACATGCTTTGCCCAGTAGCCCCATCAAACTCAGCCTTGCAACGCAAAGTCAACCGGGTCAAACCATCTAGCATTGTGCTGATCACAGGAGCTTGCACCTCACAAAGTCTTTTTACTGTATGTTTTAATAATTCTTGTAGTGGTACATGTGCTGAATAATCATCAACAAAGATGTTCTCTGGATAGCACTTAGCTTTGGACAATCTTATGTTGTTGTATGAAGGATATATATGGCAGTCACGTTCTTCAGCTCCATTTCTCATAAGTTGGTAGGTTGATTTTGACATGCCACCATCTATAATTAATGCCAGACCTTCATCAGGTGTATACCTTTTAAATTTTAGAAGGTTCTGATATCTCAGCAACTTGCTTGGCAGCCTCATACTCATTTCTTAATTTAAGCCTTGCTGAGTGGAGCAACTCATCACTAGAAAAATTATTTAAAATATCATTAAGTCTTCTCCTTTTGGTTTTGTCAGAAGCATCTTTAAAGGAACAACTTGGTCTTCCACCAATCTTATGTAATTGACTAGAATTATCAGGCTTAGATATATTATTACTGTATGTAGATTTAAAGTCCTGAGTCAACCAATTTTTATTTTTACTCTCAAACTTTATGTTTCCTCGGTTTGCATCATTCCATTTCTTTTAATAAACTTTTAAAAATGCAGCACACCCAGTAGAACCCAAATTCATAGAGACTAAAATAGCTTCTACAGACAAAGAAAATGATTTATCACTCGGATTTAGTTGGTCATGCCGTATACGGTTATGGACATCACTTATCTTCATATCAACTACAAAAAAATTAATTTAAAATTATTAGTGCAACCACTATAAACTAATATAACATGAATATGGCCATT